GGGGTGTGTGAGAGAGACGATGACGGTGTTTTTTAACGGCTCAGAGAGAGTGCGGTGTTGGATTTTTAACCCTTGTTTCTTGAAATTGGAGCCGTTTTTTTGTTTTGTTTGTTATATTGAGAATTGGATCGGAAAAGCTCGAGTGGAGTTGTTAATAATTGCATTTGGTTTTGATGGATTAATTGCCAAACATTGTTTTCTGTTAATTCCTGCCTCCCACATCTCTACCTTTTTATTCTCTTCTCATTATTATGCAATCTCCAATCTTTTTACTTTTCTTTTTTTTAATAAACATCTTTAACTACTTCCATCCTATCCAAATCTTCCTAATTTTAATTTATTTTTTATGTTATTCCAATAATTAGGTACTAGTGTAGTATAAGATTATATATATTATTTTCAATGAACAATGATATTCATTTACATTGAAATCTCTAATCTCAATTTTTTTCCCTAATATTCTTGTGGTATGTTTAAATGATTTAGTGATGGAATAGACCTGTGATAGAAACATCTAAGTTCAGCGTTGTTAAAACAATTAAATTTGGTGACTTGTGTGAAAATATTANCGAATCCTCGTTGATTGACACCTGACGTCCGCGCAGAGAGTTTTGGGTGCGTTTTAACAGGAGGGGTTCGGGTGCGTTTTTCCAAGGTCTGACAAAGTTAAATCTAGAATATATTTTTTAAATTTATTTTACATTGTATATTTTAAAAATATTTTAAAATTTGAAAATGTTTTTTAAATTATTTTTAAATACATCTTGAATTATATAATTTTAAAAATATTTTTGGATTTATACATATATTTTAGAATGTACATTCTAAAATGTATTTTTAAAATATATTTCAAAATGTATAATTTAAAATTAAAAGATTAAAATTGTAAAAAATGAACTAAAATTAGAATTAAGTTAAATTAATAAAGTGAGAAACGTGACATTTTGTAATTATTAGTGACAATAATAATGTCTGTAAAAGCAGTATTTTAGTTATATCTTAATCATGAATTTTGGAGTCATACCAATCTGATGGGAAAATGTTCTTATATTTGGATCAGTCAGCTTTGAACAGTGTACCGTATTCCGTAAACGAAGGATACAAAAAGAACGTTGTTTGGTTGACGAAACCCGTTGATTAGCTTTTGCAACAAAAGAAAACAGAATACGTGAACTGCAATTAATATCTCAGGTGTTATATTGCCGCAAAGGAAAGTTTCAGATTCTTATTAGGAAGACTAAGGACCTCTTAGTTTCGACCAAAATTATATGCTTATAAGATTCTTTTCGCTCCTTCTATAAGTGAATGAATTCAGAAGACACTCCATTCTCTTTTATATCCTCTGCTATAAATGAATATGGCAGGTGATGAGTATAATACGACAATCCCACATTGTATTAATTTTGAATTTTATTTTAAACTTTTCCATCTTTCTTGTCTTTACAGCACAAGTCCAAGAAGCATAACAAGAATACTGTGTCGTGACTTAGTGACAACTTATTAGTTGACTAATGCATTCAACTCATTAACCTGAACTAAATTGGACGGCTTAGAGCCACTCGAGCAATAAACAAGAAAACTTCTCCCACTATTTAGGCAAGAAATAATCTCCAAAGATCTATGAAGTTTACCTACGTTATTCAGTGTACACAGTTCAGAATCCCTCTCCTCTGCTAGTTGCAACTCTTTACACAGTACACAAACAGATCAATTGACAAATAGTGGCACGTACAGTTTACCTTGACTCAATGGCATGAGTTTCAGAGCCTCTTAAGAATGACCTGCGCCACCAAATTTGAAATGCCTTGCTTAGATTTGGACACTCGGTGCCATGGCTTGAGAAGTGTCGAAACCATTCCATGAAGAGCATGTACTGTTGATTTAGAGGTAGAGTAAGAAGTGTTTGACCCATAGCCTCTTGCAAAACCTTTATATCAAGTCCTCTTCTGCATCTCTGAAGCCAACCAAAGTCCAATAACATCGGCCGGAACCATGCCTGAAGAAGCCCCGATCGTGCTTCCAACCGGCATTGCAATTTTCTAGTAGCCATGGCAATAAAGAGAATTGCTGACACACGACTTAGTTCATATCTAATCATTGGGGATGCACTATCATGCATTTTAACAAGTTGGTGCTGATCTGCCCATATGTTCACAAAGTCCTCTGCTATTTGCCCATCAAGCATGATTTCCAACAACCAATTGATGTTATCAACCTGCCTTGAGATGCGTTCAATTAGTGGCTTATTCTTATCTTTCTTTGTTAAGTTTTCAGAGGGGATGGTATCTGATGCCTCCTCAAAGAGGCTTAACAGTGAGTCCAAACATGCGTGGCCAACAGAATACAGTTCGTCTTTGTTGAGGTCAAGATGATTCTTCTCATACACCGAGCTTTTGCAAAGAAGACCCTTCACCAGTGATTTTAGTTCATTTCTAGCATTGACATCCACACAAGTTATGATAGACCAGACAAGCTGTCTTGCTACATTTGACTGGTTAGAGCAATCTGCTGACTCGTGCAAGTAAAGCCTTCCTAGGATGTCTCTCGTTGTTGCTTCATCAAACTTAAATCTTGTGAATAGGCTTCTCAATTTTTCTTCTTCTTCTTCGGTCCAAGGCACAGCTTCGAGATATTGCAAACACGACAAAACACCCTTGGTGAACATGATGCCTGCTGAAACCTAGTAATGCAATCAAACGACCATGTAAGAGACTAAAGAGGCACCTATATGTGCAGGCTCAAAACAAAAGAGAACAGGAAAAAAGATTCTTCAATACCAAAATCACGTAAAAAAAGTTCTATTTGAAGCACATTGTCGTCTTAATACTTTCTTCAAGAAAATACAACATTCTGTTTGAATTTCATGCAAATTCATGGAACTTTTCCCAAGGGAACAACCCATTTCCTCAAACGAAGATGAAATGAACGCAGAACTAAGCAAGAATCAGAAAATTATTGGACTTGAGACAACTATTTCGATGATGCTTTTTGTGTTATTCTTTGAGAAAAAGAAAGTTTTATCTTGGTAATGTATTTCACAAAGTTTTACTACATGAATTACTCAGATGAAAACTAGTTCCTGTTGTATAAACAGCAGCAAACAAGATCTAAAAAATTTAATCGAAGTTTTCTACTTGAAAAACTCTTGCACTATTGCATCAAGTGCACTACAGTACATGAAATAAAAACAACAGAGACCCAGAATTTAATTTAATAAAAAAATGTTTTCTCTTATCTGTATATAGAAAAGTAAAGTGAAGTGTGAACCTCCAAAACGTCAATGCATCGAAAAACGCCGATGTTAAGAAGTCGTTTGGTGAGGCAATCGTCGTTTTCAAACATGAGCTCAATTGTCTCTCTGAACACGCCCAAGTTCTCAACTTCAGGAACCTCTATTCTACACATTTTGTTACTCCCACTCCAAGACGCAGCCCCTTTCTTGTAATCCTCTATCAACCCCGCGAACACTTCGGAATTCGCGCACAAAACCCCGGAGTTCACCTCCAGAACCATGCAACCGCCGTTCTTCCCTCTCAGACTCATCCTCACATCCCTATCGCCGGCTACCGGTGCCGGAGATCGTGGAAGCGGCGGTTCCGGAGAGGGGGAGGGAGCGGAGGTAGCGGCTACGGGATCGGAGTCAATGGGGGAGACTCTTCCCGGAGAGAGGATACGGCGAGGGTCGATTCGAGCGGGGATGCGGGATTTGGGGGAGGTCGGGAGGGAGAAAGTGGGTTTGGAGTTGGGTTCGGGCTTGCGAGGGGGAAGAGGTTTGGAAGCGGCGATGTTGTCGGGACTGGAGGGAGGGACTGCGAAGGAGCAGCACCAGGTGCGGCGGCGGTGGCGGCGGCGATGGTGGAAAGGGTCCATGCTGTGTTGGGTGCGTGAATTTCAGAAGAACTGCATCGGGGTGTGTGAGAGAGACGATGACGGTGTTTTTTAACGGCTCAGAGAGAGTGCGGTGTTGGATTTTTAACCCTTGTTTCTTGAAATTGGAGCCGTTTTTTTGTTTTGTTTGTTATATTGAGAATTGGATCGGAAAAGCTCGAGTGGAGTCGTTAATAATTGCATTTGGTTTTGATGGATGAATTGCCAAACATTGTTTTCTGTTAATTCCTGCCTCCCACATCTCTACCTTTTTATTCTCTTCTCATTATTATGCAATCTCCAATCTTTTTACTTTTCTTTTTTTTAATAAACATCTTTAACTACTTCCATCCTATCCAAATCTTCCTAATTTTAATTTATTTTTTATGTTATTCCAATAATTAGGTACTAGTGTAGTATAAGATTATATATATTATTTTCAATGAACAATGATATTCATTTACATTGAAATCTCTAATCTCAATTTTTTTCCCTAATATTCTTGTGGTATGTTTAAATGATTTAGTGATGGAATAGACCTGTGATAGAAACATCTAAGTTCAGCGTTGTTAAAACAATTAAATTTGGTGACTTGTGTGAAAATATTAACGTTATTTATGGGGATGAAAATAAATAGTTAAGAAAACAAATTCTTGTTCTCTTTCAGTTCAAAATTCGTCTAATAATTTCACATACATTAATATTTATAAAAAAATTGTTTAAGAATTTTAAAAATGATTTTTCATTACTTTAATGGATAATGATATTTTTAGTCTATATTAATTTAATTTAAATATTATTAAACCACTTTTTCATTTCTTTTTGTAAGGACTTACTTCTATTAATCATTTTGAGAATACAAAATTGAAGGATTTTTCAATTTAATTATTTTCATTTTATAAATGGCATCATTCAAGTTTTTTTTGTCATGTATTTTACCATCATTTCTAAATTTTCGTAAATTTGTCTATTTTTAGTTTCTCTAGTATTAAAATTTACTACTTTCTTCCTCAAGAGTTACCCAAAGCATTTTTCTTCTTAAAGCAATATCTAAACCACTTTAAGGATTCAATGTGATGTATTTTAAATTAGAAAGATTAAAAACAAAATAGAAATCTTTAAAGTGAATACAACTAAGAAATAACTGCAAAATTTGAATAAGAAGAATGAAAAGTAATTTAGTGAGATAGTCCACAAATAGCATCATTCTTGGAACTAGGAAATTAGTATTATATAGTATATATTGTGTTGCAGTGGTAGAATATGTGAACCTTTTTACTTTGCTTGTTGATCAGGGAAGGAATAATCTCCTCTTTTGGGGTGGATGGTTTCTGTTTCCTCTTTTAAACACCAGCATTTTGTTAATTAAGGAGGGAAATGAAAACAGTATTGCTTCCAGTACATGATTTATTTGTTAACTGCTATAATATAATTTAAATAATAGTTATTTTATTTAACAAGATATATTATATATAAAGTAAATATACCATACATTAAAGCTTACTAGCATATGCTTGGGCAGACCCTAGTGGAAAAATATTAAATCTTTTTAAGTTCTTAAAATAAACATTACGTGAATTTTTTATTTGATTTACATTTAGTGAAAAAAAGAACGAGTATTTGTAGCTCTTTTTTTTCAGCTATTTGGTCTAGATTTATTGATTAATTTTATATAAAATTTGTTTGGTGAATTTTGGTTTAGTTGAAGGAAAAAGTCAAAAAGAGAATCAGAAATTTGGATGTTGATTGATGGCATTCTATAGAGGCTAACTGATATAGGCTTGGAATCTAGATGAAATGATCACTAAAAAATGCCGAGAGAAAAGAAAAGAAACATTTAAAAAAAAAGGGTTTTTCACTTTTCTAGGAAACCAGTATACGCTTTTATTGTAAAATGTAACTTGTTGATTTCTTCTAGGTTGTCTGTTGGAGACATCACACACATACTATACTATGAGTATTGAGTTAGAATTATTGATACAAATTGAATCCAGAATTGTTTTCAAGAAAATAACAGAAGAAAATGATAATGAGACCAACAAGAAACAAGTGTGGGGTTGGGTTTGGTGATTGTAAGAGAATTTCAGATGCTCTGATATGACACAACGTAACACCACCATCACCCCACTTCCCTACTCTTTAAATAATTCATTTATTGCTTTCTGGACAGTACACAGTTATATATGTACCCTTCGTTTTAACGGTATTTTTATTTAGGATTTTGATCTCCAGTTAAAAAATAAATGAAGCACCATTTACCTTTGTAATTCAAATAATTTAAAAAACTTATTTGACAAACTTTTAATTACGTTACGTGGGAAGCAAACATGTCTTGAAATTAAAACAAAAAAAAATGATATGAACAATTTTAATTTAGGAATTTTGATTTTGTGATTTTTTTTNACACACGACTTAGTTCATATCTAATCATTGGGGATGCACTATCATGCATTTTAACAAGTTGGTGCTGATCTGCCCATATGTTCACAAAGTCCTCTGCTATTTGCCCATCAAGCATGATTTCCAACAACCAATTGATGTTATCAACCTGCCTTGAGATGCGTTCAATTAGTGGCTTATTCTTATCTTTCTTTGTTAAGTTTTCAGAGGGGATGGTATCTGATGCCTCCTCAAAGAGGCTTAACAGTGAGTCCAAACATGCGTGGCCAACAGAATACAGTTCGTCTTTGTTGAGGTCAAGATGATTCTTCTCATACACCGAGCTTTTGCAAAGAAGACCCTTCACCAGTGATTTTAGTTCATTTCTAGCATTGACATCCACACAAGTTATGATAGACCAGACAAGCTGTCTTGCTACATTTGACTGGTTAGAGCAATCTGCTGACTCGTGCAAGTAAAGCCTTCCTAGGATGTCTCTCGTTGTTGCTTCATCAAACTTAAATCTTGTGAATAGGCTTCTCAATTTTTCTTCTTCTTCTTCGGTCCAAGGCACAGCTTCGAGATATTGCAAACACGACAAAACACCCTTGGTGAACATGATGCCTGCTGAAACCTAGTAATGCAATCAAACGACCATGTAAGAGACTAAAGAGGCACCTATATGTGCAGGCTCAAAACAAAAGAGAACAGGAAAAAAGATTCTTCAATACCAAAATCACGTAAAAAAAGTTCTATTTGAAGCACATTGTCGTCTTAATACTTTCTTCAAGAAAATACAACATTCTGTTTGAATTTCATGCAAATTCATGGAACTTTTCCCAAGGGAACAACCCATTTCCTCAAACGAAGATGAAATGAACGCAGAACTAAGCAAGAATCAGAAAATTATTGGACTTGAGACAACTATTTCGATGATGCTTTTTGTGTTATTCTTTGAGAAAAAGAAAGTTTTATCTTGGTAATGTATTTCACAAAGTTTTACTACATGAATTACTCAGATGAAAACTAGTTCCTGTTGTATAAACAGCAGCAAACAAGATCTAAAAAATTTAATCGAAGTTTTCTACTTGAAAAACTCTTGCACTATTGCATCAAGTGCACTACAGTACATGAAATAAAAACAACAGAGACCCAGAATTTAATTTAATAAAAAAATGTTTTCTCTTATCTGTATATAGAAAAGTAAAGTGAAGTGTGAACCTCCAAAACGTCAATGCATCGAAAAACGCCGATGTTAAGAAGTCGTTTGGTGAGGCAATCGTCGTTTTCAAACATGAGCTCAATTGTCTCTCTGAACACGCCCAAGTTCTCAACTTCAGGAACCTCTATTCTACACATTTTGTTACTCCCACTCCAAGACGCAGCCCCTTTCTTGTAATCCTCTATCAACCCCGCGAACACTTCGGAATTCGCGCACAAAACCCCGGAGTTCACCTCCAGAACCATGCAACCGCCGTTCTTCCCTCTCAGACTCATCCTCACATCCCTATCGCCGGCTACCGGTGCCGGAGATCGTGGAAGCGGCGGTTCCGGAGAGGGGGAGGGAGCGGAGGTAGCGGCTACGGGATCGGAGTCAATGGGGGAGACTCTTCCCGGAGAGAGGATACGGCGAGGGTCGATTCGAGCGGGGATGCGGGATTTGGGGGAGGTCGGGAGGGAGAAAGTGGGTTTGGAGTTGGGTTCGGGCTTGCGAGGGGGAAGAGGTTTGGAAGCGGCGATGTTGTCGGGACTGGAGGGAGGGACTGCGAAGGAGCAGCACCAGGTGCGGCGGCGGTGGCGGCGGCGATGGTGGAAAGGGTCCATGCTGTGTTGGGTGCGTGAATTTCAGAAGAACTGCATCGGGGTGTGTGAGAGAGACGATGACGGTGTTTTTTAACGGCTCAGAGAGAGTGCGGTGTTGGATTTTTAACCCTTGTTTCTTGAAATTGGAGCCGTTTTTTTGTTTTGTTTGTTATATTGAGAATTGGATCGGAAAAGCTCGAGTGGAGTCGTTAATAATTGCATTTGGTTTTGATGGATGAATTGCCAAACATTGTTTTCTGTTAATTCCTGCCTCCCACATCTCTACCTTTTTATTCTCTTCTCATTATTATGCAATCTCCAATCTTTTTACTTTTCTTTTTTTTAATAAACATCTTTAACTACTTCCATCCTATCCAAATCTTCCTAATTTTAATTTATTTTTTATGTTATTCCAATAATTAGGTACTAGTGTAGTATAAGATTATATATATTATTTTCAATGAACAATGATATTCATTTACATTGAAATCTCTAATCTCAATTTTTTTCCCTAATATTCTTGTGGTATGTTTAAATGATTTAGTGATGGAATAGACCTGTGATAGAAACATCTAAGTTCAGCGTTGTTAAAACAATTAAATTTGGTGACTTGTGTGAAAATATTAACGTTATTTATGGGGATGAAAATAAATAGTTAAGAAAACAAATTCTTGTTCTCTTTCAGTTCAAAATTCGTCTAATAATTTCACATACATTAATATTTATAAAAAAATTGTTTAAGAATTTTAAAAATGATTTTTCATTACTTTAATGGATAATGATATTTTTAGTCTATATTAATTTAATTTAAATATTATTAAACCACTTTTTCATTTCTTTTTGTAAGGACTTACTTCTATTAATCATTTTGAGAATACAAAATTGAAGGATTTTTCAATTTAATTATTTTCATTTTATAAATGGCATCATTCAAGTTTTTTTTGTCATGTATTTTACCATCATTTCTAAATTTTCGTAAATTTGTCTATTTTTAGTTTCTCTAGTATTAAAATTTACTACTTTCTTCCTCAAGAGTTACCCAAAGCATTTTTCTTCTTAAAGCAATATCTAAACCACTTTAAGGATTCAATGTGATGTATTTTAAATTAGAAAGATTAAAAACAAAATAGAAATCTTTAAAGTGAATACAACTAAGAAATAACTGCAAAATTTGAATAAGAAGAATGAAAAGTAATTTAGTGAGATAGTCCACAAATAGCATCATTCTTGGAACTAGGAAATTAGTATTATATAGTATATATTGTGTTGCAGTGGTAGAATATGTGAACCTTTTTACTTTGCTTGTTGATCAGGGAAGGAATAATCTCCTCTTTTGGGGTGGATGGTTTCTGTTTCCTCTTTTAAACACCAGCATTTTGTTAATTAAGGAGGGAAATGAAAACAGTATTGCTTCCAGTACATGATTTATTTGTTAACTGCTATAATATAATTTAAATAATAGTTATTTTATTTAACAAGATATATTATATATAAAGTAAATATACCATACATTAAAGCTTACTAGCATATGCTTGGGCAGACCCTAGTGGAAAAATATTAAATCTTTTTAAGTTCTTAAAATAAACATTACGTGAATTTTTTATTTGATTTACATTTAGTGAAAAAAAGAACGAGTATTTGTAGCTCTTTTTTTTCAGCTATTTGGTCTAGATTTATTGATTAATTTTATATAAAATTTGTTTGGTGAATTTTGGTTTAGTTGAAGGAAAAAGTCAAAAAGAGAATCAGAAATTTGGATGTTGATTGATGGCATTCTATAGAGGCTAACTGATATAGGCTTGGAATCTAGATGAAATGATCACTAAAAAATGCCGAGAGAAAAGAAAAGAAACATTTAAAAAAAAAGGGTTTTTCACTTTTCTAGGAAACCAGTATACGCTTTTATTGTAAAATGTAACTTGTTGATTTCTTCTAGGTTGTCTGTTGGAGACATCACACACATACTATACTATGAGTATTGAGTTAGAATTATTGATACAAATTGAATCCAGAATTGTTTTCAAGAAAATAACAGAAGAAAATGATAATGAGACCAACAAGAAACAAGTGTGGGGTTGGGTTTGGTGATTGGAAGAGAATTTCAGATGCTCTGATATGACACAACGTAACACCACCATCACCCCACTTCCCTACTCTTTAAATAATTCATTTATTGCTTTCTGGACAGTACACAGTTATATATGTACCCTTCGTTTTAACGGTATTTTTATTTAGGATTTTGATCTCCAGTTAAAAAATAAATGAAGCACCATTTACCTTTGTAATTCAAATAATTTAAAAAACTTATTTGACAAACTTTTAATTACGTTACGTGGGAAGCAAACATGTCTTGAAATTAAAACAAAAAAAAATGATATGAACAATTTTAATTTAGGAATTTTGATTTTGTGATTTTTTTTTTATTTCATTGGTAAATAAACAGCTTTTTAACTCGCACGTTACGTTTCAGTTTAAAAAAAAATCGAAGCGTATAAAAATGCGGTGACAATTTCGTAATTCTGGCGACACTATATGCCTTGGTTCTCTGACCAATCGAGACAAAAGATACTGCTAAATCAGACTTTTCACCTGACAGCTTTTTTGAAAGAGGTCTACTGCCTCGGTTCTCTGACCAACCGAGGCAAAATACCCTGAAAGCTTTTTCAAAATAGGCCTACTGCCTCGGGTCTTCAACTAATCGTGGCAAAAAATCCTGACAACTTTTTCGAAATAGGCCTATTGCCTCGGTTCTTTGACCAACCGAGACAATATGTCCTGCCAGAAACTAATTTTGAACGTTTCAAATCCATTTTGTCAACCTCTACTACCTTAGTTCTTTAACCAACCGAGGCAATATGCCCTTTATGTCTCGGTTTAAGCGCGAACCGAGGCCTATAATTAGTAGATATTTTTAAATTTTTCATTTACAATTTTATTTTGAACCGAGGTAATAGCCTCTTCGATAGTTAAATTCCAAAAGCGTAAAACAATTGCACATTTTTGCTTTTTCTTCTTCTTCCCCCAGAGAGTCGTTTCTCATCTCATGCGAACAACTTCTTTGTGTCGTTCCGCCGCCGTTGCCTCCATCACTAGACACCGCATTGCCTCCACCACTGGTCGTCGTCGTTGCCTCCATCACTGGTCGTCGCTGCATTTGTTGCACGAATGTTGTTGCCTCTATTTCTCTCGTGCGAACTACACTTTTCGTTGTTGCCACCGTCGTTCATCGTCGCCACTGCCAGTTCATCGCCGCCAATGGCCGTTCGTCGCCAACTTCGACCCTTCGTCGTCGCTTTTCGTTGTTGCTAGGGAAGTACCTAGAGGTTTTGACATCCGATGCAATTGCCAAGTTCATGAACTTGAAACCTGTCACTCTGCTATATTGTTGACGTTGGACAATAAAGGAAATGTTATTACTGAGGAGGAAATTGATAATAAATTGATTCAGAAGAATGATGTGATTAAATTCCCGATAGATGTACTAGGTGTTTTATTTCATTAATTAATATATTTGAATAACAATAAATCACTCATATATTAGGCAAAGTTTTATTATATAACTATAAGATAAGTTTCATGGTACAATGTTTAAGATTCTTATTAAATGGAATTCACTTGATGATGAGAAACATGCATTCAACTTGAAAATGTTAGAAGAAAGTCTAATATCGTCTTTCTCCATTATTGATATGTAATTTATGTATCTTTTGGATAATTTCAAATAATGTTAATTGATTTAAAGATAAATCCTAACATGGTATCAAAGCTTAAAAAAATCTTGGTAAATATTTATTCTGGTAGTTCTTTTTGCACTAGTGCAGTCAAGGGAAACAACAACAATTGTTTTCGCCTATAGGCAGCGGTTCCGCAACCGAGGTATATACGGGCGAGGTAAAAAGGTGGGTGACTTTTGGCCTCGGTTGCAACCGAGGTCATATCTCCAATGTTTATGCCTTGGTTCCCCTGCACCTAAAGTAGTAAGGAAGAAAAGAAAGGGGGGAAGGAAGGGTTTATTACCTTGGTTTAACCGAGGTAATAACGTGAGGCTATGACAGCGGTTCATGCTAGAAGCGATGCCAAATCCTTTTTTTTTAAATCACGTGCAACCTACTACCTCAGTTTTGGCCACAACCGAGGCCTATTTTCCTAAAAAAAATTTAATAACAGGTTTTTTTTTTTTTGTGATATCCACTATCACAAAAGCAGACCTGCATATAAAACACAATATATACAACACAGAATCAACACATAATCAAGATTTACAACACAATGTTTAAATGATAATGTATAAAGTATAATAACTATAAATCAAAATGTGCTAATGTATTTTAAATCAAATCCTAATAACTATGAATTATTGAATAATCTAATTAAATGCTTTGCAAGTGCTTTCCTTAGGTACGTAAGTGGCTTCTCAGGAAGTGGAGTAGGAGTCTTGAATCTCTACATAAGACACATGATATTAATTAGTGTATATGAATTCCAAATGATGGAGAAAAACAAAATTCATTAAATCTGAATATTACCGTTTCCCAGCCTGTTGTGATATGGGCACGAATAATGTGTGTCATCCAATACATTACGTAGTATCCGCACTCATATGACCCACTTTGTCTGTTACACTACAATATAGCATTACAATAGTAAATAGTTAGTGAAGATCATTAAAACAAAACAACTATAAGAAAGTATGACTTTAGCATATGTCAAACCTTGAGAGCAACCCATGTAAACTTTCTATCGTTAACAATTGATCTCCCAACCAACATCATACGTGCTGCAATGGAACTATAAAAAAAAGAGGTTTTAGCATTCATTTATATAACAAAAAAAGTTCAAACATCGAGGTTCTTACCAATCAACTGCTTGTCTGAGATGTTTGGGAGGAGACTTGCGCAATGAGCAGAACCACACAACATAGCTCTTCGGTATGGAAACAATAAGTAGCTGCCAATGGTGCCTGAAATTGATAATAACTTAATTGTTATATATTAAAATCACATATGAAACTTTGAAGTTTACAAACTTCACTTCCCAGATATATAAGGAATAAAATATATGTTCTTCCTCCTTGCAAAGCTGCTGGTGAGATATGTTGTGATGTCATCAAAATGATTTTTTTTCGTGAGTGACTTGGGGATCAATGAACCCATAGACATCATTGTACCCCAAGGTGTTACTTACACCAAACATATACTTGAAATAAAAAATTCCCTTTAATATAAGTATACTTGACATATAAATCAATTTTATATAAATAATTGGTCATAGACTTACATCATC